AAAGAAAAAGAAGAGGAAGGAGGAGGAGAAAAGAAGGAGGGGGAGGTGGAAGAGAAGAAAGAAAAAGAAGAGGATGAATGAGGAGGATGAGAAAAGGAGGAGGAAGAAATAGAAGAGGAAGAAGGGGGAGAGGAGGAGGAGGAAGAAGAAATAGAAGAAGACGGGGAGGAGGAGAGGAGGAGGAGGAGAAAGAGGAAAAGGAGATGAGGAAGAAGAAATAGAAGAAGAGAAGAGGAAGGAGGAGGAGAGGAGGAAGAGAAGGAAGAAAAAGAAGAGGAAGGAGGAGAAGAAAAGAAGGAGGGGGAGGGGGGAAGAGAAGAAAGGAAAAGAAGAGGATGAATGAGGAGGATGAGAAAAGGGGGAGGAAGAAATAGAAGAGGAAGGAGGAGGAAGAGGAGGAGGAAGAAGAAACAGGAGGAGGAGAAGAGGAAGACGAAATAGAAGAAGAGAAGAGGAAGAAGGAGGAGAGGTGGAAGAGAAGAAAGGAAAAGAAGAAGATGAATGAGGAGGATGAGAAAAGGAGGAAGGAGAAATAGAAGAGGAAGGAGGAGGAGAGGAGGAGCAGGAAGAAGAAATAGAAGAAGACAGGGGAGGAGGAGAGGAGGAGGAAGAAGAAACAGAAGGAGGAGAAGGAGAGGAAGAAGAAATAGAAGGAGAGGGGGGAGGAGGAGAAAGAGGAAAAGGAGACGAGGAAGACGAAATAGAAGAAGAGAAGAGGAAGAAGGAGGAGAATAGCAGGAGAAAGAAGGAGGAGGAAGACGCTGCTGGTGGTGGTGGTGGAGGAGGAGGAGGAGGAAGGAAAAACAAAAGAAGAAGGGGAGGAAGAAGAAGGAAGAGGAGGAGGAAGAGGAGGAGCAACTTGGGGGGCTTTGGTGCTCTCTAAGCTGGATGGTTTCTTGCCGGCGTTTCGTGACCCAACTAGGGAGTATCATCAGTGCTGGAAGGGAGTGGGGTTTGGGAAGAGGAGGAGAGGGGAAGGAGGAAGAGGAAGAGGAGGAAGAAAAAAGAAGAGGAGGAAGAAGCAGAAGAAGAGGAAGAAGGAGGAAGAGAGGAGGAAGAAGAAATAGAAGGCGAGGAGGCGGAGGACTGTGGGGTCCTTGGTGCCCTCTGAGCTTGGCGGTTTTCTTGCAGGCATTTCACAACCCATCTCGCTAACATCATCAGTGCTAGAAGGGAATGGGATTTGTGGAGAGGAGGAGGAGGAGGTGGAGGAGGAGGCCTGTGGGGTCCTTGATGCTCTCTAAGCTTCCAATATTTGAGGACCTGCCCTCAAAGAAGACGGGATCCACCTATTCTCCAAAGCCCCCTGAAGGCAAGAGAAGACGCAACGGGTGGAAACTAATCAAGGAGAGAAGCAACTTGGAATTGAGAAGAAACGTCGTGGACAATTCACCAGGGGAACTTCAGAAGTTGTGGGGGCTCCAACACTGGCAGATTTTAAGAAGAGGTGGGACCACCATTTATCTGAAATGGTATGGCGCCCTGCTTCAGGAGGGGTTGGGGGTGGGGGTTGGACTAGAAGACCTCCAAGGCCCCTGGCCAATTCTCTTATTCTACTCTCTTAAGGTAGGATGGCTCTCACCTGCCCACTGTTGACCGCCGCATGTTGAGCCGAACAGGTGAAAATGACCACAGTCAGGATTTTGGTGAGCTCCTCCGCCGTCTCCAGCCTTGAAGGAGCCCCTGACGCCTCTCGGCTCTGGAAGGCTTCCTTGAAGATCTCCAAGATCCAGGCCTGGAGCTCGGCATCCCCTTTGATCCGATCATCGCTCCAGTAATAGTATCTGACGAAGCCCGCCACGAAGCTGGAAGAAGGAGGACACGCGTCGGTGGGAAGCTCCTGAGATGGCTTCCCACCAACCTGGTGGATCTCAGGAACGTTGGGCTTCAATGCCCAGAACCGCCAATCGGAGGGCGAGAGAATCGAGTCCACCTGGTCCCAACAGGTGGAGAATAAGAGAAGTGGATCCTCTGACCCTTTGCTGAAGACCAAAACTGGCCCAACAGACTTGGCCACCAGTCTGTTCTCAGCAGAAGCACGAAACGGACTCCTTGTCACGAAAAAAAACCCCACCCCTCTTGATTTCTGTCCTGTGAATTCATGGCATTCACCCGCCGACAAGTCCAGGCAAGAGTCCTTCGAGGAGTTAACTGCAATACAGACCTTATCGGTTCCTTGCGATAATTGCCAGGCTGGGAGCTTCCAACCACAAACACAATGAGCAAAAACCTTCAGAAAGACGAACTGTTGTCTCCTACGACCACCACTCTCCTTTCCTTCTATTCATTCCCCAGCCAGGGAAGGGCCAGTCAGCGTCTACGTGTGCTTTGCTTCCCAAGCCGGCTCTTTGTCCTCCGTTGTTCACCTCTCCTAACTGCTCTGCGCAGATGTGCATCTGGAGCAGGCCCCAGCTGTTCTTCTGCCTCACTCATCTCAGCCTCCAAAGGCAGCTGTCTCTCCAACGACTGGGAAATGGCCTTGGCTCTACGCAGAGCATTTATCAGAGCCTTCCCCAGACTCCAGAACTGGCCCACGTTCCTCCCCAACCTCCTCGCTGTCCGAATCTGCCAGCTGCACTGACCGGCCACAACACAGCTGGGACCTGTTCCAGATGCGCGTATGCGCAGAGCTGTCAGGAGAGGAGGACAACTGAGGAACAGGAGCCGACTCAGGAGGCAAGGCACACAAGCACATTGAATGCCCCCTACCCGGCTGGGGAATAAATAGATGCAAAAGGGGAGTGGTGGTTGTAGGAGACAACAGTTCGTATTTCTTTCGGAAGATTTTGCTCATTGTGTTTCGTGCCTCAGGGACTGCTTGCCAGGAATTAGTTTACAGCTCTGCAAGTGGAAGCTGTCCGCCTGGCAATTATCCAAGGACTGATAAGGTCTGTTGTTGCAATTAACCCTTTGAAGGACTATCGCCTGGACTTTTTGATGTGTGAATGCCTTGAATTCACAGTAGCTAAATAAAGAGGGGGGGGTTGGGACAAGGAGTCTCTTGGTTCTGCTAAGGCTGGGTCAGAACACTGGTTAGTCTTTGGATCATGAAATCCCCCCCCTGCGGATGGAGAACAGACTTGGAGGTCAAAAAAATAATAATCCCACAAGCTCCTAAAGTCATTAGGATTCAGACTCAGCTGGAAGGAGAGGTTCATTTGATCCAGCTACAGGGAGTACTCAACCTACGACCACAATGGGGCCCCCAATTTCCGTTGCTAAATGAAACAGTCCTTTGAGTGAGTTTTGCCCCGTTTTACGACCTTTCTTGCTGCTGTTGTTAAACGAACCCTTGCAGTAGTTAAGTTAGTCACACGGCTGTGAAAGGAATCCGGCTTCCCCCTTTGACTGGTTCGGAGGTCGTAAAAGCGGATCATGTGACTCCCCCGGGACATTGCGACCGTCATAAATATGAGCCAATGGCCAAGCATCCGAATTTTGATCGCGTGACCATGGGGATAGTACAATGGCCGAGTGAAAAGCTGTTGTAAGTCACTGGTTTTCAATGCTGTTGTAACTCCGAATGGTCATTAGATGAACTGTTGTAAGTGGAGGACTATCTGTACGTGTCCCCTCTGGCTGGACCTGAGCTAATATGAAACAGCCTTGCGGAGTTGAGGCAGGTTAGATTTGGATGGAAGGATATCAAGAAATACCACGTTCTTATTTGGAAGAAGACAATTAGACGTTGTGTTCCTGTCGGAATACATTTGGTTGAAATGTATTGTATGTGCAACAACCACAGTTATGTTCCTCCAGTAGATGGCAGTGTTTGTAAGTTTGGATCTACGGTGTATGCTCTATGTTCTTTTGTACTAAGTAGAGTTTCCTGGTTTCTATTAAAACAGTTAAGCAGTAAAGCACATGGTGACTGTGCTCTTTGTTTGATTGCAGATCAAACAAAGAGCACAGTCACCATGTGCTTTACTGCTTAACTGTTTTAATAGAAAGCAGGAAACTATCTATCTATCTATCTATCTATCTATCTATCTATCTATCTATCTATCTATCTATGAACAGAATTTCTAACAGCTCTCAAGAAAATTGTGGCGGTTGATCATGGAGACTTCAGAGAACGTCTTCAGAAACCCAAGACCAGACCTCACCTCTCTATGGCATCCCAGAGCTTGGTGGCATCATCTCGATAAAAATAGTTGGCGACAGAGTCAACTCCCCGAGCCTTGATGTCCTCCGGTAGGCAGAGCGAAGAGTAGGTCAACTGTTGAACCCCTCGGCTCACCAAGGGACCGATTCCTTCAAATCCGGCTGAGGTGGCCTACAGGAGGGAGACGGTTGAGTCACTCACGGGTAGTCCTCGACGTACGGCCCAAATTTAGCTCAAAGGTTCCGTGGCCAAGCAAATGAGTTCTACCCCCTGTTTGCTGGCCTTGCTCGCCACAACCGTTAACGGAATCGCTGGTTTAAGTGAGTGGCTTAAGTGAGGGACACAGTTGTTAAGCGAATCTGGATTCCCCCGTTGAGTTTGCTCGTCAAAAGGTCGCAAAAGTGGGATAACACAAACACACATACTGGGACACTGTAACTGTCATAAATACATGCCAGTGGTCGAGCAGCTGAATTTTGATCCCGTGGCCCTTTGGGGATGTTTGACGATTTGTAACTAGGAGGACCAGTCATAAATCACTGTCTGTTTTTCTGTCTCTGTCCTTCCATCTGTCCATCATCTATCAAGCGCCA